GGGGGGGGGGTTTCCTCATTTTACAACATTTCGCAACGAAACTTTGGAATATTACTAATTTTGTGATGCTCTTTCAAGCTGTGATGAAATATTTGCCTACACTTGCCTAGATCAAAATTTTGGTTATAAGGGGAAAGGTCTATTCAAGAAGAATTTATGTTTATTTTATGTAAATATTGGTGATAAATAATAGTATTGGCATTATTTAGTGTGATTCAAAACAACACAAACGCCATAAGACACAAATACTACACGGCCCTGTGCTCCATTTTTGTTCGTCCCCAATCGTCGCCATTGCGGGCGCCTCACGAAAAACCCCCCGAACGTTTCATGCGGAGCGTCAAATGCGGAGGATTGTAATTGTGGAACGCGGAAATGAAGGAGTGCAAAAAGTGCAAAGTACGGACTGTACAAAACATAACTAAAGCGGGGTGATGTATTTTAAACTGCAGTATGGCAGGTATACTCCAATAACTGATGTCGAGGTTTTGGTCGGAACTACGTACCCGAAAAGCTTGAAAATTTCGACGTTTCAAATATAAGATTGTATTAAACCACTAACCAAGGGCCTTCACATAATCAGTTAATTTTGTGACAAATGTTCTGGGTATCGTGACAGTGTTCTGGGTATTTAACCCAGAAGCCATACAGACTTTTGAATTTCAATGTTTTTTCTCACAAGCGTGTATTTGATGACCATACTACCGGTATATATTTTTGAAACAAAATGACAAGGTTTACATTCGATCGTAAATTCATTCGGTACATTTCCTGTAACAGACCTGCCAAGTGTCACGCATTCGCCGTGAAAGTCAACATTTAAATTTTGGTTCCACGATCGAACGCGTGTCGATTAAGGCCCATTTCCACTCAAGAAAAATTTCCACGGACAGAAATATTTCCGAAAATACCATTGTTAAAGCCCCGTTTCATGCAAAAGGGCCTCTTTTAACATATATACTGGGCTAGTTCCCCTAACCCGATTGATGGAGTCCTTCAGTAATCTATGTTGGTCCCCCCAATGAAGGTCCCTTCCCTCTAAAATATATAAGAGAAAAGGAAGAATACTTAGATAGACAGATGTTTTAATATTGCAATGACCAAACTCTTGTCTAATGGATAAAGTCTATCAAAAAGTTGCATTGTGTTATCGAAAGGTTGCATTGTGTTTTAGCATGCAGAAAATAATGCCCTGGAGCTAGACTCAAAATTACAAACATTTTCTTGAGGTGGACCCCTAGACTTTTTTATAAGATCGTATAGCCTATAGGTTCCTTTTCCTTAAAAGAGGCCCTAGCATACATATTTATTACAGCGATTCCTTAAGACTTGGCCATAAAATATGTGAAATATTGAATGTCCCTCATGCAATGACCCGTTTTGTTCTAGAGATGGATCGATACATCATCCCTCTAACGGCAAGAACGAACTGTCCAGACGAACTAGTTAAAACAGTGCGATCTATACTTGCTTATAGTCAAGCATCAATAATTTTATATAACATTGGAGCGAAAATCCGCTAACAAAGCATTGTATTTTTCTGATAGTTCGTCTAATGTTGTATCTACACGCAAACACGGACCATTCGAGAAAACGAACTACCGGCATTCACATTCTTCGAGTTAGAGGAACTACACATTCTTGACGGCAAATCCGTCAGCATGCCGCGTTTAAACACAGAAGATTTATCAGACGAACTGTATATTTTTTGGCCAAATCATCAATCTCTAGAACAAATCTGGCCTGGCCTGTTTTCTCAAAATCCCAGAACTAATTTTTCTAATATAGTTTTCTAATCCATGACTTGCTTGAGGAGCCGCAAAATTTCTCTGGCATTTGAAAGCGCTTCTTCGGCATCTCCATGTGAAAACATCTCGGCTGGAATGGTATTATCGAACAAATGCCCTCTGCTATAATGAGGATAGCGGGTCTTGGTATAATATCCGTGTATAAATCTAACCATATCCGGAAGGGCGTGAAGACGTGGATCTATTTCTGTTGCTCGATATGCTAATGCGAGCACGTCGTGGGTTTCCAGGTCGCTCATTTTAAGATGACCTTTTGCGAACATGAGAGCTTTTAGAGCTTTTTCAACAGCTTGTTGGCAATGGAAACAAGTAAATGAACAGTAAGTCTCCTCTTCATTTCGGAATAGGTGGCTAGCCGTATTAAAATCTTTCTGAGCTTGTCTCATCCATCGTTTAGCTTCGTCTCCATTGGCTGGCTCATCCTCGTTATCCGCGTCTTGCCATTCGCGATGACGTTGTCGTTGTCGTCTTGCTCTTCCTTGGTATCTGTTAAAGAACTCCTGGAAATCAGGACCATTCCAGGTGGGTCTTGATGGTCCTCTTGAAGATTGATTTGAATTGTCAGCTTCAGGGCGGTAGCCAGGTACTCCACCCTTTTTCAAACGTTCCACCTCGTTGAGTAAGAATTTCGTTACTTCGTTAGCGAAGGACTCGCGATGCTGATTTTTGTCGGGATGCCATCGTCGGATCAAACGTTTTATAGCACTCGATCTTTCCGACTCTGGAAATTGCCAAATTTCTTTCAGCGCTTCTGCAACCTCTCTTTTCGCTTCTTCAAACGTTGCTGGCTCATGTTCAGGCTCAGGAGCAGTAGGATCTTGGTTAGTATTACCAGTTGCAAGATCTTCAAAAGGTACCAAATCCAACCATTCATGTCTCGCACTGGCAGCGTTATCTGCGGTTCCACCTCTACGATCAAACTTGTAAAGCTTTAGTTTGCTAACTGCAACATGCTCTTCCTCGCCAATATCAATCAAGTATTTGCTGTTGAAAGTGAATTTACCATCACCTAAAAAGTAACAATGAATTCGTATAAAGTTAATATTCTCGGATTAGTATAAAGTTAATATTCTCTGTTAATACTTTGTACAAACGCTTAAAAAGGCTGAAGTAGGTATAAACAAGGAAATGCTGAGTACTCCAGTACAAACGGCAGGAGTGTAAACCTGATCACAATGTTCCTAAGCATCATAAATGCACGGGACGTTGAAAAACCTATCGGTTAACCTTCATGCCCATCATTACCACATAATTGAGACTTTCAGATAACTTGCATGCCTAGTGATCACTAAGATATAGTGTAAGCGTAGAATAAAGTTATATGAATAAGAATAATCACTAAGCATTAATTGACATTGCATAATAATTATGTGGGTGAATTAGGTGCCCTCGCTAAAATTGTAACGAAGGAATTCCCGAGGTACGAAGATGAGCATCCCTTGAATTTCATTCCCGATGTGCTTTAAAGGAAATGTTGATGTCAATCAAAAACAAGAAAATATATTGAGGGAAGCCAAGAATATAATTCAGTAAAGAAACATATACCTTGACTTGTTTGCTCGATGATCTTAGCGTATATATACACCGCTTCATTATCTTCATCCTCCTCCCTTACTTCATATCCAACCCATTCACCTTCTCGAAGATGGTAATTTATATCGTTTTTCAAAAGATAGTGGAACCATTCTGGAATTTGATCGCCCGGATTTGGTTCTCTCGAAATACTTCTGATAAATCGTGTTACCCGAGCATCATCCAAAGTCTTCGATATTTCGCAGGGGTCTTTAACACCAAGGATCATCATCAGATAGCGCCAACAAGCCTCGCCGATATGTTGCCCAGTGATCTGGGAAATAAACGAACTTAACCTCTCGTGTAATACACCAGAATTTCCCTCCCCGCCGTGTTTGATTAGGATGCAAAATCCATCTGGAATTTTGTGATAGAAAGTAGGAACTTCTTTCTTGCTGTCTGAAACTGGTTCCATAGTTGCTATTTTGACAAGCCGTACTTCAATAGTCTGCATGCAAGAAACTTTGACACCGTTCTCAAGACTTCTAAGATCATTTTCCACCTGTTCTGGAATATTGGGTGTATCTTCTTGAACTTTGTACAGCCGAATTAGCGCCTCGCTAAGCTCCCGAGAACGCATGATATCGCGATATCGTTTGATGAAGTCACAAAACAGCGTACTTGAATCTTGATCAAGAATACATTTCTTGTCGATGCAACTTGGACTCAACTCTTCATTTAGTATAGAACTCAACTTTTTCACTTTCAAAGGACTCGGCAACAGTTCGACAAGTCTCGCAGGACGTTCTTGATTCCTCATGGTCAAATCAATGAGCAACTCCTTCGAATAATCTTTCAACCGTTCTTTCTTTTCCATTGTGTCATTAACAAAAACCTCAACTGATTGCATCAGGTAATTATCTTCGGTCGGAAGATAAAGAGTTCGAACATTTGCTAGGGACTGTGCTGCATTCGGGGCAGAACTTACACGTGTTTGAGAACGCTTCTTATCTTTGCTTAAGCATATGAACAAACCTTTCGTGGCCTCGACTGCTGCAGGAATCTCTGCCGGATGCATTTGATTATCCCCACAACTTCTCTTGATTGTTTCTAGCACTGATGAATATTGTAGTGGTGTTGGGCGTTCCTGAGCTCCAAGGCATTTTAGGAAGTGTTCGAAATGTTGAAGATGGCGGGGAATATTAAACATGTATGGTTTGATGTTGTTCCATACTCCACTGAATGCTAGTTGGTTACCGCATACGAATGTATGCTGATCTACCAATATCACTGGAACATTGCACAGGGCATTACTGGTAAATTTACATTCAGTTGTACAATTTGAGCGTGGGCCAGGGCCGCACAAATCCTTAAAATAGCTGTATATCTTGGTCGTGACGTCAAGAAGGATTGGTTGCAATGCAGAAGGAATTTCCTTGTTTCTCATCGCAGGAAAACGGCCAGCAATATTCTTGACATGGGAGATCACAAGTTCGTGTGGAGGGTTAGTATGTATCCCGAGCATGTTGATCAAATCATCTCTACTGTTCGGAAATGCTGAGGTTGCTATTAAGGATGTGCTTGACCATACAAGAGCTGTATGTCGTGCAATCACGGAGCCGCTAAAACATGTGAGAATTGGTTTTGTATGTGAAGGATGGACATCAAGGTACAACCTAATTATCTTGGCTGCAGGAACAAACTTAATTTTGGAAATTTGGGAGAGAAATGCTGTTTTGCGCAAAGTTTCGTTTTGAAATAAATGCGAAACCAGAATATTTGACTTTTGCAATATTTTTTTCGCCTCACTTGAAGTTGGATGTGAGAGATCGCGAGCTTCTTTTTCCAGTTGTTTGGAAAACTTTAAAAAATGTTCCATGGTGACGTCACACTGGAGACCAATTTTCTTTAAAAATTCTTTCCACTCTGTGGAATCGAACGGCTTGTGAGGAAATTTCTCATTTGGTATAAATTTCTCAAATATTTCATTATCTGGGTCATAGAACTCTTTTGCTGAACGGAGTTCGCCCGAATGACCAATAAATGACAACTGCTTCATGAGAGACAGTAGACCTTTATAACCACTTTTATGCTTATGTAGAAGGGAATCCCTCACAAACTTCAAATGGTTTACTTTTCCGTTAGGTGTTAAATGATCGAAGTACTTTAGAACTATACCCATGTAGAAGTCCATAGATGATGCTTGTTTGATTCCAATGTAACGGTAAAGATCCGCGAGTTTGGGAGCTTGGCGTAAGAAGATACTGCTTGTTACGGAGGAAAGAACTTGAAGGTCATCCCATGGAATGTCATCTGGCACTTCAAACACTGCATGGTTACCAGAAAGCCTTGTATAAGTACAACTGATGGTTTCGTAAAATGGAAGATTTCGCAGAAGAGGGCATGCAAGCCTGGAAAAATCACTTTGTAGAAACATAAGGAGTCGTTCAATTTCGTGTTTCGTAAGTGTAGTTTCCTCTCTCATGTCGCCGTTCAAAGTCTGGTGCAACAGTCCCAGGACGTCCTCCGTTGACTGAACCATTGCAAGATAGTGCTTGCGTACTGCAGTAGCTCCAGTCGGATTTGAGGATCTGGAAGATGAAGATATTAAAATGGTATGGTTCAACTGCGGGCAGCCAAGTTTCACCAACAGCCCTCGTATGATTTTGTCTTGAGTTGAATCGCTGTTGAGATAAGTGCTTACATTGAGAACGGTTTTCCCCATGGAAACCGGAACGAGACAGTTATGTGTGGTCGGAAATATATGCCAACTCATGATTTCATTGAGGATACTACTAGTTTTGCTTTCATTTTCACCGCTATTCGTACCGTCACTTTGACTTTTGGCGATAGCATCAATAAATTCCCAGAGTAATTTAAGCCATTCTTGTGATGGAAATTCGTTGCCATCCTCTCTTGGATTCCATGGTTGATGGGAGACTCTGTTAATCCACGTCGATGGGAAAAAGAGTGCCTGAAATTTGGCAAGATCTGATATAAGAAACTCTCGCATAACGTTGGAGCACTTCTTCATGGTACTTGCATAAAGAAATCGGAGCAATTCATTCAGGAAGAGATCAGATTTGGAGGGCAACAGCTGATTGAACCTGCTGCAGAAAACTATCTTATCGGGCCAGAAACAACGAAGTATGCCATCTTGTTGGAGAAGCAAAGGAACTCCTTCAAGATTTTCGAAAAAGTCTTCAGCTTTAGCGCAATACTTAGTCAGTTCATGAACATTGTTAACGTGGTGAAGAACAGTGTCGTTGACTTCCTTGGGTAAATTATCTTTAATTTTCCCGTGACTAAGGAGGAATTCCCGTACTCGTTCTGGACTCACATCTTGGTAACGTTCAACTGCTTTGAAACTCTCGTGAATTTTCCACGGAGTGTGCGAGAGGAGGGGGAATCCTATGTCCAACAGCGTCTTCTCGAGCAACCAAGACATTTCTGATGAACAAAAGTAGGCATCGCTGACTTTACACCACGTGACAGTAACAGGAGTCTCATCAGGCTCTGTTCTTGCTTCAGAAAGGTTCTCCGCCAAGGGCTTCTTCCATTGCGGAGCTGACATGGCTACTGGTAAAACAGGAAACATCGGCACGAAACTCTTGTAAAGTGCTTCTCCAACGGGTTTCCATTCTGTATCAAGGTTTTTAATGGAAGGGAATAACTGATGATACCACCTGAGACCATCCTCAGTTTCTTTCTTGGAAGAAAATGTACCTGATTCAGCTTGATAGCCAAGAATGTACTCTCTGGCATAACAAATTGCACTGGCATAAACTCGAGCAATTACTTGGCGTTTCATGAAGTTATTCCAAACGCCTCGTTCGTCCGAACTGTTAGGGTCATGCCACAGACCACGGCGTGCCGAGTCCAACGCAAAGTGACCATTGATATGAACGGGAAGTTTCGTAGAAACTGGAAGTGGAAGTATGCAAAAAATGGAATGTCGGAATGGAGGTTCAGTTGAGGGCAAGAGGATAGCAATTCCAGCCCGTGGTAACAGACCCATACTGGTACCATTTGGAACTTGGGCGTCACTTTCTTCATTACCATGCCCCAAACTCTGTGTGACCAACCAATCCTTTTTTACGTTCTTCGTATCCGATATCTTCATAACGTAATGGATTTGTTGCCATGTTATTTCTTGAGTTGGCACTAGACTGCATGCTCTGATCTTCTCAAAGAATTCAGTTCGTTTAGCTTTGTCAGAAACTTCGCACATCACAGAATACGTTTCAAGTTCTCCGTTCTTTATCACGGAAACAGAGATCTTCGTAACGTTGTTCAGAAACAACAGCATGTCTTTGGCGGATGCACGGAATACACCAAACAGCTCCTTCACTTTTCTTTCATTCCACTGAACAGTAGAAATCTTAGACTGAAGCTTTGCATTACCACGAAGTGGAAAACGAAACATTGTACTTTCTTTAAGATCAAAAAGATCGCCCAAAAAACTAGATAAAACATCCTGGTAATTACGTCGAAACTTTTCGTCCAGTTGGGGGAACAACCGTCCAGGATGTCTTTCATTTGCACCAGGAACATACGCTGTGTGCGGGTCAGAAACACAAATGACTTCACCATTCGATATGAAGTAAGGGCAATCAGTGAGATGGTAGACTGCATTGAATCCAATGCCATACTGTCCAGTTTTCGCAGGGTCGTCCACTTTGCTTCCGATCCCAAGCTTCTGGATACCTTCAATATCCTCTTTGGAGAATGGCTTGTCGTTGTAGACACAAATCGCAGGGCCTTGAAGGTCGTTCCAGTCATCAGAGAAGACATATTTAGTTCCATGGGTTCGGGGATCAAACACAAAATGTATTTCGTTAGCTTTTGCGTCATCTGCGTTTTGAAGAAGCTCTTTCAATATCCCCACGTCAGCAGGATAGGCCGTGAGGATGTTCTTTAAGCGATCAGTTAGCTTCTCGTGCTGTCCAAAAGGTTGACCAATAGGTTCCGAATACCGATTTAAATCTGCGTTTCTCAGCTTCTTCGCACCACATTGGTATGCCAAATATACAGGGATCTTCTTGTGTACAGGTTTATTTATGCCATCCGTCTCTAGCCAAGGGGTGTCGTTAATTGTAAGTTCATCTGCGTTATACAACTTGCAGTCTGAACCTGGAAGGGGCAATGCTATTTCATGAACAAGCATCGTGTTGGGTAAGTTAAATAAGTCTTCGAGAAGAACAATAAGGGTACGGATTTGATCATCTAACAGTTCTTCACGTGCAGTGTCTTCTCTAAGCTTTAAAATTGCTGTAATAAAATCCTCTTGGTCAAAGTTATCCTTTATCCCATACCAATTAATGAGGCCCTTAAACTTCGTACTATACGCAAGAGGTAAGGAAAACAGATATGGCGATCCATCTTCTTTTTTCCAGTTCTTCGCCACTAGTTTTGAATCCACCATTTGACCTTTAACGAGCATCCATTGTCGGCAATCCAAGTGTTTACGAAGTTTCGACTTGTATTTTTCAATGGTTGCAACGTGTTGCAAAAACTTATAAATTGTTGAACATGCTGATTCTTTGTCTTCTCTAGTGGCCAAATGAGACTGCTGGATGACTTGATCAAGTTGTGCTATGACATCAGATAACTCTGGTTGCTTTGAAGAAAACCCGAGGATTTTTTTGAGAGATTTGTTTGGTACGCTTGAACTATTAGATGATTCATCCAGGATGAGGTGAGAGGAACCAACAAGGTATTTATGTCGTTCAGGATAGAGATTCTCGGCGGCAGCCAAATGCATCGTTCGGTATTTGTCAGACTTCCAGGGAAATGGGTAGTCTTTTGGCTTTGGCAAAATGGGAAGGAACTGAGCAGCACGAAGACTTCTCGTTTCGTCAGCAGTTATTTCACATACCGGAGGTATTTGATTCATGAATTGAATAAGCAACGCTGCTTTCTTCACATCACAATGATCGGAAACCCATTCAGCTCGCTCGCACAAAGCACGCCACGGAAGAAAATCAATGGCCATTCCCAACTCTTCCAACATCATTGCTCGCTCTTTCTCAAGAAAAAGATCGTCCAACGGAAATCGTTCTTCTTCTTCGGAAAACAAGCAGGCAGCTTTTCCTTTAGGATGGACCAGTTCGCTTGGTTTGCGCAGCCGCGTTTCATCCTTGGAACAGTTGAAACATGGATACGTTCGTAAGAGATCATCATAGTTTCGATGCTTGCTTAGTCGACGATCGAGGATGTGAACAAGAACTGAGTTACGAAGTTGGTTTAATATCTGTGAAACTCTGGGAAAAAAGAAATCTCTCAAGAATCTATCTTCGGTCAGCATGTGACTCTTGATAAAAGCTTCTTTCCCGCTACACTTGAAGGCTTCCATGAAGTCTTGGGGAAGTAATAGGACATTTTCACCAAGTTGGTTCATAATGGTGACGCAATGAGCAACCTTGTTAAGTTTTGGATCAAGAATAAGACAATCATTTAGTTTTCTCCATTCTCCATTGCAATAAAATAGTGGCAACTCTTCCTCGATGATTTTGTTGAAGAATGAGTAAAGAAACGGTTTCCACGCTTTTGGGTAGTTTACTTTTGTTAGGTTAGGCCAAAGACTGTGGAACTCGTACTGCTTATCATTGTAGGACGTAAGTATTTGTAGCAGCTGAAGGTAAGCCTGCACTAAGGAATCTTCCATTAACGCTTCGTTCCACTTGGCTTCGAATGGTCTTAACGATTGGTGTTCACCCACGCCTTCTTCCCATAGACGCCGCCGATTTGAATAAACCGAGAAAGAGCCGTTAACATGCACGGGGAACCCAGACTCGATAGACAGTGGCATAAAGCAGAATACCTCTCCAGTTACGGGGAATATTTTTGCACCTTCTGTGCTTGAAATCGTAATCTTTGCAGCTATTCCAGTGACAGGGACAACTGCGCTCTTTTTACCATCAGCACTTTGCGCAACTTCAAGAGAGGACCCACCACCTGTGCAAGAATTAACAATCCACGTGTCTTCTTCTTGACGATCTTCTGATACTTCACTTAGGTCCGATTTTACCATTGATACATCCATCTTTAACCATTCAGTACTACGGGGTGCATCTGAGGGAGCTTTCACTCCCGATCTTCGACTGTTTAACAACCAAGTTGACGAATTTTGCAAGATCGTTCCCTCAGTAATATTCGTGTACTTAGTAATCGTCTCGACCGATTTTGTAATGCTGATGATGGGTCGTTCCAAAGACTTCTTTGGGTTAGAATTTTTCGAGATTTCAAAAACTCGAACCTCCTTGACATTTTGGGCGAACAGCAAAAGGGTTGAGGCACTTTCTTTCAATGACTTTATAAGGTTGTTCACGTTATCTCGGGTGTAAGGTTCTTTCGAAATCTCACTTTCTTGCGCTTGTACAGCTGTACGAAAAGGGAGCCGAAACAATGTTCCTTTGAAGTGAAAAGTACCCGCACCGGTCATGTCGCAGCCAAACAACTGGTTGTAAGGAGAGAATTGGTCTGGGAATGCCGAAAGAGCATGTTTGTGTTCTACCAAGCTTAACATAAGTCCACTACTTCTCATCTTGCTGTCGATCAATTTAGAGATATGATTCATATTCGGATCAAAAACGACTAGGTGTTCGCCACTCAGAAAACTTGGGACATCAGTGAGATGGTAGACTAAGTTGAAGCCAAGACCAAAACGACCCACCTTGTCCAAGTCTTCTTTCTTCGTTTCACCAGCAAGCTTGTTGATGTTTTCAAAATCTTCCTCAGAGAACATAGCGTCGTTATAAGCCCAAAGAGCAGGTCCTTGACATTTGGCTAGTTCTTCAGTGAGCAATTGTTCTCGGTGATTCTCCCGCCAGTCAACGACAAAGCACACTTTTGAAGCGCGAGCGTCATCTGCGTTTTGAATAATCTCCTTGAAAATTGCCACTCCTTCTTTGTACTGCTGGAGAATGTTACGTAACCGTGTTGTCAGTGGCTCATACTGGCCAGCTTTTTTGTAGTTAATAACAAGTTCTTTGGCTCCTGCGAGGCAGCTTGAGAGACGCGGAACTCCAAGACAGCTAGCCAAATCATCCGGAATTGCTTTATGAATTAAATGAAACTGAATAGAGATCTCATGTTCAGAGACACCTCGTCTTAAAAATTCCCGATCACAGTATGTACACGTGTTGCACGGTTCGAGTTGCAGCTTATCGGACTCGGTCTGAACGGGAATTAGAAGTTTACAGCGGCGTTTTTCAGATAGCTCGCCACCACTTCTCACAATCCATTCTAACACTGCACGACATTGGTCTAAATCTTGCATCATGTCCTCAAGTGGTCGTTTTTCATCATCGTGCTTTGCCTTTATATTCCGCAGCATATCCAACAAGTTATCGACTGTAAATTGTTTCTTTACTCCATGGGATAGTAGAAATTCTTTCACTTCGAATAGTTCGTTTGGAAGACGAAACAAATATGGATGAATGTTGATAGTCTTTGGAAAAGGTGATTTTAAAGCGACTTTTTCTGGTGAGGTAAAACCACTTCCTTGCCATATCCACTGGGTTAAACCTTTGGATTGTAACATTTTCCGCACAAAACCGTTGGGTGCGTAATAAAGGTGCTTGTATATACCCTTAATCATTTCTTCAAATTTCGCAAGGGTCAACGGTGTGATCGTTTGGTTTGTCCAGGAGATAACAGCTAAATGTAACTGTTCAACGACTTCTTTAAATACATTGTGTGTATGAGACATCCCAAGCAAATCTGGAAGAAAATAATTATTTTTAGGTTCGTACGTAACCCCAGGTTTGCAACCGACCGGAAATACAGCCCTGGACCTTTGGATAATTCGTCGATTACGATTGGCCGGTTCCGTATCATATCAGCTGTTATGCGCCAAAATAGGACAGATAAGTGAAACACTGCCCAATGCAAAAAGACTTCGTGTTAAGCACTATGTAATCCAGTATTGTTTTTGGTGCGACGCGGACAAGGCATTTTTTAAGAATTCGTCAGTGGGGGGGGGGGCATCTACAAAAAGGGAACATACCATACCAAGTGTGGAGAAATGATAAATGGTTTGTTGGTAACAAAAGTTTGGTGTGGTATCGCATTTAATAGTGGGGTGGGGAGGGGTCTGGAGGTATTCTCCTCCCCTATGACTGCAATTCCCTTCATTTTCCGAAACAGATTTTTGGATATACAGCATTACATTATGCTGTAAATAGACTAAACCTTCAGTCATGTACTTGCATAGTATGTTTATGTAGATACCACAACTTGGCCGTCACTCAGGGAACCAGCTTGATAAACTTAGAGGGTCCGACTCCCAGAAAGCGCCCTCATGGTTGGCACAGAGCGGAAAAATTTTGCGTCACTAAATCGTCGGAAATGGCATTTTTAAAACAGTCTACCTCTTGTTAGCCCTTTCATTAATTCGCTCATTATGTAGTTATATAGTTAAAAAACGCCCCACCAGTTATATAGTTAAAAAATGCCCTGGACGCGGATATAATTGTCTGTAGGATATTTTCATGTACAGCTACTGTAGTAATCAAAACGTCAAAAAATAAACGTTTAAAAACCGAAATATTAAAACATACATTAAAATAATTAATGATAAACCAGTGTATTAAAACATGATTTATCAACAATTGTGTGTATTTTTCCATCACTAAATATTGTGAACAACAAAATGCTTTCAGCAAAGACTGTAAAGTTGGGGCTGCTAGTTTAGAGAATAGTTGTCATTTGTTCAATTCAAACATTTGTTCAATGCAATTCAAACGACCAGCGGGTTCCATACAAAACTTTAACAGCCATACCATGCCATACCTTGTTTTATACTGGCTTGAAGTATGAAATGGACGATTGAATCCAAACCAATTTATTTTTAAAAAATTATTAAGCGGGAGCTTGTCAAAGCAACGAATTTGTTTGTCACGAAACCCCAGGCCAAAGGAAAAGTCTTCGTTGCTAGTTTTAGTTAATTAGTTTGTAGCTGTCATAATTTTGAAAGCGTACATATATTTGTACTCGAAATATGGTTTCTTTCTAATTTTTTTTTTCAGGTTTCGTGTCTGCCTTTTTATTAAAATTTTGTTAGCCATGTTTTGATTACGTAACACCGCTAATCTCAAGCACAAGTTCACAACATCGTTTGCTACAGTTATAAATGAACATGCACATTTGAACAACAAATTTACACTTCCCCACAAAGTATAGTGAGAAATTTTCATTCGCTATACGTACCTTTTACTTTATCTGAAATCAAAATGTCATTGAAAACAGGAACTGTTGCACCAACTAAGAATGCCAAGGAATCGGGATGCATGCTGCTCGGTTTACAGAGGTTCATTCCATCATACCAAGGCATGAAATCAGGATAGTTAACAGGACGATCCTGCACTCGTGGTAACCATGGAAATTCACGCAGGACACGACTCAGTAACCTTCCATCTGTAGTGTACTCACTAAGTAACTGCGGTCGTTGATTCATAAGTTCCGCAAGAGCCATACCTCTGTCCAAACTTATCTCGGGCGTTTGGTTTACAATAAGCAAAACATCTTGAGCGGTCAGGTTTTCTCTATGTCGAACTTTTAGTTCATTTTTACGTCTTTGTATTGGCTCTAAAAACTCGTTTGTTGGAAAAGCCTCGTTGTTGCCTTCTAGCAACCGAGTTAAAAGTCCATCAGAATGATCAAAAAGTTTATTTGGTGCTATGCGTTTGCCACTAGCAGTTGGAATACATGCCATTTCACGAATAAACACCAAGAATGCAGGCATTTCTTGATTTAAGATATCCATTCTTTCCAAAATCCAAAGCATAAGTTTGTTTTTTTCAACGTCCCTGATAGTCCCAGAATTTAAAAATTTTTTTGAATGAATCTTGATCAAATTTGCTGTGGTCTCGGTTTTCATGTCAACTTTATTCAGCAAACGGTAACTTTCATCCTTGGAAGAGGACAGAATCTCTGTCCGGTCAACAATGCGGATTTCGTCGGGTAACGAGAAGTTTCGTGGTGCAACAAAACGCTGCTTCACCGCCTGCTTACCCGATCTCGTCTCACAGGAAACAAAATGGCATCCGTCGACTGTTTCAAAGATTGGTAGCGTACGAATAAATGATATCTGAGCCGGACTAACGCGGTCTAGCTTCGCCAGAATACAGCAAAGCTCGTGTTTAACTTCGTTTGATGCAACAGACAGTTGTTGAACTGCTTTATCTTTTGTTACGGAAAGAACGCTGAGAGTACCAGACGGCGTCGGTAGAGAAACATAATTAAGGAGTTGATCGTGCTTTATAAAGGTGGGCAATTTTTCAATCGCAACACAGCCCGACTTTACTAAGAGTTCACGAACGATGTCTGAAAGTACTTCATTACAAAGTGGGTGTTCGGTGACAATGATGGCGGAATTCAGGCGAAGTCTAGCCATCAAGGAGGGTGGATCGATGGAAACAGGAACCAGTGGCATTCTTTCAAACTCGCCAAGGTTACTTGGGTAATTCTCATTGATCCACTTCCATACTAATTCTAACCAAGTCAAAGAAGGATGTCCCTCTATATCAGGATTCCAGGTGACGGTTTCCAGCTGCGGGAGGTAGTCGCAGGACCAATCATTAGGGAGGTTTTGCCAGAGTAGCTGCTTTATATCATTAGCTGTAGGGTGTTGCAACTGTGTGACTTTGGAAGAACCAAGCTCGTACAACTTCTGTTGTAGTTGTAGAGGGAGGTCACGATAGAGAAGACGATGCTTCATATTGGGCAAGAGATCGGCACTGTGCTTCTCAGACGGAATGAAGACCTCCTTAACGGATGGAAACGAGAACTTTATGAACTGGCGATTTTCTAAAGGAAGTAGACGAACGTCGCGAAGCTTACTTCCAGGGACATTCTGCAGAGCATACTCCAACACGAACAATCGATCTTGGAAATCCATTGGCAACTTATGAAAATCGAAATCAGAGCGCAAAACGTTACACAACAGCGCTGGGGTAACTTTCTGAAGGGTTTTCCAACCAGACATCTGATGATATTGGTCAACAACTTGTATAACGTGTCCTGGTAATGAAACAATTGGCTGGCCTGCGCTCAGCAACGTATGTAGGACAACTTTTTTGACTTCTTCTCTCATGCCTTTGGTCCCGTCCAGGCGATCGATAATGGCTTCCCCAAGGCTGATCCATCGACACTCCCCTGCGGGAGTTGTCAAGAATATTTTGCTTCCTAAAACCATTTTGAAAAACGGTTGCAAGATACATTTCCAATCGTGCCTGACATTGCTTTGAACTGGCAAAGCATTGTATACTAACTTAGCGAGCAACTCCATCGATGGAAAATTGGCAGAACTATCCTGCACCATGTTTACAATTAGGTTGGCGTACACTTGACTTCCGACCTTTTCCAAAAGAAGTTGATTCCACTGGGCCGTGTCGTCATTCTGGCAATCGGGACCAGGCCACTTCAAAGCTCTTCTGTTGTCTGTCAATCCAAAGTAGCCATTCACTTGAACCGGTAACCCTGTTCGACAGTCGCCATCAGTGGGGAGAGGAAGAAAACAGAAGATCCTCCCAAGTGAAGACATGTTGTTATTAGCATCCACGGGAAATGCGATGCCGATCCAAGGCAACAACTTTAAATCCCGGGCCAACTCGACTAGCTTCTTTTCATTGGTGCCAACTTGATTAGCTACGAACCACTCGTTCTTTTCCGGAGGCTTTTCTGGAGATATCTTCTCGATTTCCAAACGGTAAAAGGTTGTTTTCACGGCAAAATCCCACTCGACCGTGATGTCCGCGATTAATTCTTGTCTCCTCTTCTTGACCTCAATCTTTGACTTGTCAGATACTCGGGCCGTATAGAGACAAGAAAATGTTCCTCGTTGTTCTCGCTTGTACAATCTGATGGAGTCGACATTTTTCAAAAAAAGGAGAATCGCACTTGCTTCATTTTTAAATGAATCAAACAGAGTATTGACCATATCTCTCGTGTAGATTTTGTTCGACAACTTTGATTCGTGAGTTCTCAACGGAAACCGAAAGAGAGTTCCACTGTAATAGTTTCCCTGGTTAAGATTGCAGCCGAACATCTGGTGAAACGGCTCAAACTGGTCGAAGTTCTCAGTCAGTAAAGGGTCTTCCGTAGAAAACGCTTGGCCTGGTTCACCACGAACAAAATATTTCTCATGTGGGTCTAGGAATGCAACTGTATTGCCACTCACAATACTTGGTAAGTCTATAAATATTTAGAAAAAGAGCATGGCTTTAAATTATAGCGAAATCATTTTATATACAGAGATCTTCTCGACAATTGCCTCAAATACACGGCTAAAAACGCACAGGTTGTTGCAAGTTGATATCGACAGGCGTGAACAACGTAGTGCGGCCAACTATGAACAAGTTGTCAACCATGTTGTTCCAAGTTGTTACAGTTGAATAATGCTGTAACAACATGTTGACAATACTGTTCATAGTGGGCCGCACAACCTTGTTCACGCCTGTCGATATCAACTTGCAACTCTCAATTTTTACGCGTGTATTCAGCTCATTTTATACTCACAAGTTATATGAAATCGGTTAACCAGTTTTCATTATCATTGACATATATTTGTACGAGACAGGGGAGGGGGCAGGGGGCAACTGCCCCCAAAAACTTCAGAAAACCATGGAAATTCGGGTAAATGCTAAGAAAAATCAATAAAATTGGGCAGGTTTATTAAGAACTATGTGTTAAATTCAGGTTATTTTATTACAATCTTCCATAAAAATTCAGGCAAACTTTGAACTCCTCCGAATCCCCCCCCTCTCCCCATCAGCCCCATACAGTACGCCTAGATGATCATTGTATAATGTATACTCCACAATTGTATATTAATTAATTTATATCTTTGGGGCGCTGTTTACATGATTTCGCTTTGCTGAAACGTATCGTGATCAAATTGGGCATAAGAATAAACCTATATATGCAAGGCCAGATTGTGAATGGTGGGGGAGGTAGAAAAATTGATGAACAGTGCAGCGGTCTAGCTCACAGGCCCGATCAAATTATTAGGGCTTAGAACGTACCCTCCTAGAGTCAACTAGGTGATGTATGCATGTATATGGAACACATCAGAATGAGTGTATTTATAAATTTCGACTGTTCGACTCACCAATTTTGCCCTTCATTTATACATAAATACTACAAACTTTCTTTCGAAACATTGCATTAAAAGGGTCATTGACACAGTGTAGACTGCCAAGCAACAAATATTGTCAAATTTTTACTTTCATTTATTGTTCAACCTTTCCCAAGGAGAGATGCATGAATTTTCAGGGGAGGCCGGTGCAAAACGATCTCAGGGGAAGGGCACACCTTCCCTCAAAATCCGGCCAAGGTTAGTAAATTGAGAAGGATGTACTGTAGCTGTACCCCAGCAAGGCAATTACACATACCTGTGATGTGATAAACAGAATTAAATCCAATTCCAAAGCGGCCAACTTTCAATGGGTTATTTTCCTTGTTACTTCTCATAAGACGTTGTAGTCCTTCCCAGTCCTCCTCTGTGAACTCTGCATTGTTGTAAAAGTACAGGGCTGGGCCTTGAAATAAGGCCAACTCGGGAGAAACCAATGAATCAGTTCCATAAGATGTAGCATCAAATAAGACCTTTACTTCATTTGCCCCGGCGTCATCTGCATTTTGAATTAATTCCTAGTGAAATTAAGAAAATAAAAATTAGACTAATTAGCAATAGCTCAACATATTAAAATTTTCACCTTTAAACAACTCACATTGTACAGTAATACTATAATAAATTTGTTCTATAGCACCAATGACTAAGCATTTTATAAAATGATCTATTCACTTCACTGATTACATCACAGTTAATAAAATACATGGTTTGGAAACTCGATGAAAGGTAACAATATAACTCATTATAATATAGCATTTGTAAATTCTGAACGCTGATTGGCTAAGAGCCGTGTTGATATAACCCAATGTCAACACGGGAAATTTTCCGCCGCTTGTAAACACGGAAATTTTTCTTATCCTTCGGGCTTTTGACATTGCTATATTATAAAAAAAATATAAAACATTTTTTCCGTATAATGATATATAGTTATATCAACAC